AAAAAAAAAACACCTAAGATCATGGCCACTGGTCCCATCACCTCCTGGCAAATAGAAGGTGAAGTTTGTGGAGGCAGTGATAGATCTTACTTTCTTGGACTCCATGATCACTGCAGATGGAGACAGCAGCCACGAAATTAAAAGACACCTGCTTATTGGGAGCAAAGCAATGACAAACCTTGACAGCATCTTAAAAAGCAGAGGCATCACCTTGCCAACAAAAATCCGCATAGTCAAAGCTATGGTTTTCCCTGTAGTAATGCATGGAAGTGAGAACTGGACCATAAAGAAAGCTGACCGCCGAAGAATTGATGCTTTTGAATTATGGTGTTGGAGGAGACTCTTGAGAGTCTCCTGCACTGCAAGAACAAACCTATCCATTCTAAAGGAAATCAAGTCTGAGTGCTCACTGGAAGGACAGATCCTGAAGCTGAGGCTCCAATACTTTGGCCATCTCATGAGAAGAGAAGACTCCTTGGAAAAGACCTTGATGTTAGGAAACTGTGAGGGCAAGAGGAGAAGGGGACAACAGAGGATGAGATAGTTCGACAGTGTCATTGAAGTAACCAACATGAATTTGACACAACTCCGGGAGACAGTGGAAAATAGGTGAGCTTGGTGTGCTCTGGTCCATGGGGTCACAAAGAGTCAGACATGACTAAATGACTAAACACACATAAATGTATATGACTATAGACTCAAATATTGTTGTGTAACCTACACTGGAGTACGGAAGATGACATCACCAGGAGTGATTAGTTAAAGAGTCTTCCCTTAGATTCTGGGTCATCCACAAATTAACCCAACATGCACATGATGAGGAATCCCATGAGGAGCTGCAGCAGGGATTCTAGTGAGCAGTGCTCTGCCTCCCTGGAGACATCAATCCTCCTACCCCGTTTTATGTTATGTAACATGATTATGGCCACTTTGGGGCTAAAATCTTGTTGTGTAACTTACTCCTATAGAAGTCTGATGACATCATTGCAAGGTGCCATTTTTTGAGTCATTAAAAATGACCTAGTGCTGTCTTGTGGCTTTTCCAACTCCCATGAGATGCATTTCGTCCCATGGGTTGGAAGGAAGACATCTTGAATTACCAAAAACTGCCCCTGCTGGTAAAATCGGCTAGTGGCAACAATTTCAGAGATGTAGGTTCCCTAAGGTGATTTCAGCCTTTCTGTTCTGATTCTCCTTTTATGTTGTATGATACTGGCTTTAATTTTTGTTGTATAGATTGGAAGCCACAAAGAAAAGCATGCAAGTGTATGCACATATGTGCTTGCATGCACACATATACTCACCATTTCAAAAAACAAAACAAAAAAATAACAAATGTCAGATCATTAAAGATCTATGAATATATATCTATAAAGGAATTTTCTTCTTTCTTGGTTTTTGTGCTGTGGGGACCTGAAAAATGTAAAGGTAAGAATTTTAAGTGGCAATATTATACTTGTGTGTTCAAATTAAAGGTTGCTGGTATGAAGCTATGGAATAAAAAGTTTAGAATAACACATTTTATGTAACAGTGTAACTCTTGGTTCTTTTCTTTTACAAGAATGTAATTATGTTCCTGGAAAAGCCATTAAAGTCAATAAAACTTTGAATGCAAATGTGATTGGTATACATAATAGAATCTATTAACATTATAAAACACTGGTTAGAAAACCATCTTGAAAATTTATGTAAATGGAAAGAATTGACAAATATTTATACTGCAAAATGTGACAAACATCAGTAACAGCTTGGATGGAAGAAATAATTACTCCTACAGGAATCATCTGGAATAGTAATTTTATTGTGGGCTTCTTATAACTAGGCTTAATCTTTCTTAGGCTTTAATCTTACAGTTCTGCATATTTCTGAGGAGGCAAGTCCAATTGAACTTGGTGGGTGTATCTTTCAGTACATATATACAGACCTACATAGCTAAAAACATTTTAAATTTCCAGGGAATATTGTGCAGGCTTATGTTAGAAATCCTGTAATTAAGGGAACTCAGAAGACCTTCATTCAAATTCTAGCTTGGTCATGGAAACTCACTGGAGGTGGCATTGGTAAAGCCACTTCTTAAACATTTCACATATCCTGGAAATAGTGCTAGGATTATCATAAGTCTGAGTGACTTGACAGCACATAACATGTTTTACACAATTGCTAGTCTTTTCAGCCATGTTCTTGCCTTCTGAGGCCAGCCTCTTTTGGAGGGTGTTTATTTTCCATTTTGAAGTGAACAAAAGATAAACATCATGGAGACGTGAAGGTCACAAGATGGCCATGATCCACTTTAGTGTTTCTGTGTGAGTACCAGCTTTTTGCCAGATAAGGTTACTATTGATTCTATTTTAAATATTTCAAAGTTAATTATAGTGCAAATCTTTACCTATACAGTGGTGCCTCGCATTACGATGTTAATTCGTTCCAGTGAAATCGCTGTAGAAAACGTCATAATGCGAAAAGAAAAAACGCATTGAAATGCATTAAAACCCGTTTAATGCATTTCAAAGGGCTTGAAACTCACCGTCCAGTGAAGATCCTCCATAGGGCGGCCATTTTCGGTGCCTGTAATGCGAGGAATCCTTCCCAGAAAACAGCGGGGGGGCATTTTGTTTACCTGGCAGCCATTTTGAAACCACCGATCAGCTGTTGGAAAATCATCGTTTTGCGAATAATCGGTTCCCAAAGCAGGGAACCGATCATCGCAAAGCGAAATTCCCCCATAGGAAACATCGTTTTGCGATCGCAAAAAGTTTGTCATAATGCGATTTCGTCGTTAAATGGGGCAATCATAAAGCGAGGCACCACTGAATATTCAGAAATAAGCCCTGTTGAATTCAATGTGGTTCATTCCCAAGAAATGAGCATAAGATTTCAGTTTTATTTTTCTGTTATAGCTAACTCATACATTTAATTTGGCACCCAGGTTGTATTGGAAGTCACAAGGATTCCCATTACTTCTTAAAGACAAATGCTGTGGAACATTGATCTAACTGGACTGTATTCTGACCCCATCTTAGCCACCTTCACCGGTATGTGGATTTAAATTGTATATCTATATCTTTGCATCTTCTTTTGTTTCTGAATACTCTGTCATGAACATGTCTTTATTTAAGGTGAAACTAAGGTTCTGATCATATTGACAAAAGAACTGGTATTTTAATCACATTTAGCTGCAGTTGCACTGATGTTTAAAATGTTGATCACCTGATGCACAGTGGATGCACAACGGATCTTGGAGTTCTACCCACCCACCCCGAATCACATTACTCTGTTTGGAAGTACATAATTTAACCTCCTCTCCTGGCAGGGTCATTTATTTTAGCTTGGGGCTGAGTCGTGATCTGATATCTTGAATTGCCCAATGTGCCCACCTCTCTCTCTATAAATTGCTCCCTGCTGGATTGCCCTCTGCCACCCTGCCCCTTGCCTCCCTGCCTTCTCACTCAGCCTCCCTATTTCTGTTCCTGGGAGCACACCCATTTGCGCAACTGAGCATGTTGTGTTCAGGAGCTGTGGATAGAATGGCAAAATAGCTCATCCCAAATTAGGATTATGGATAAGGACACACCCTGTAAAAGCTCACCCACTGGCAGCTCAGAATAATGTTCATGTACCCCAGCATACACTGTGCAAGCTTCTGTGGAATTGCTTGTCTTGATGCTGAGCTCATAAGCCAGTACTTCTCATTTCAGGCAGCAAAGCAAGTTTTCCTCAGGCCCAGGAGGTTGCCTACACAAGGATATTTATTTTCCTTTCATAGTATCTATGGTTTCCTCCTGTCTTTTCCTCCTTTTGTTGAATTATGCTGGGTTATTTTCCTCCATAAATAGTCTAATTGAATAAGCATTAAAAGTGAAGGAAACACACAGCCATAAGACAGTCAAAATATTATGCTGTATAGTAAACCTGAATGTGGGTAGACAGATACACTTGGTAATAATGTGATCACTCAGTACTATTTATCAATGTTTAGCTAAAGATGTACTTGAATGAGGAGCAAACAAAAACCAATTTAAATGCAGCAGACAAGCCATATGGCCTGGTCCTTGCATAATTTATCATTTATGACAGATTCTACTTTTTTCTGTTGGTATTTTAAAGCAGAAATGCATTTATATAGTGAGTACATTCCTGGCTACAGTGTGAACTGGCTGAGTCGTAATAGCATTCAGTCTAAATGATATTATGCAGTTATCAGGGAAAATAAATCCCCTTTAAGGAACGATACGTGTTTAATCATGGGACAAGAAGCAATTTTGGGAACCAGAAATAATGACACAACACTTTTATAGGGAAATACTGTCATTATCCGGAGGTGCCAACATATGGTATCTGTCACTGCAATCCAGGGAGTCATCAGTCACATGTCCAGAAAAAGGGAGGTAAATTACTATGTTTTTGCACGTGGTCTCAAAAATGCATTTTGGCAGTTGTCTCTTGCACTGCAACACTGCAGGGAAGATACCGGGAGGAAGAAGTAGCATAGTCACTATACTTCATGGATATGGAGGAACCGTTGGTTGTGTCGTGGCCTAGACAGTGGCTTTCAGTGCTTGGTGTGCTTGTGAGCTTGAAGAGAGAGAACTCTCTCTCTCTCTCTCTCTC